GATTTTTCATCCATTTGCATTTACTAAAGGCTTTTCCTAATGCTAAATGTCATTTCCTTTATTCTTTTAATTAAATATCTGAACTAGATTAATAATCTAGCTCTGATTACTATTAATTGGACATTACCATGATTATGTTTTCACCGGTGAAAATGATTGAGCTATGTTGTAGTGCTTATTTTATATAACTGCACTTCCTTGTAAAGTGCTGTGAGATCTTCTTATTAAAAATATGATCTTACATAATATAGAATCTTAATGTCTATAATTTGTTTTGTAGAGTTGTAGGTTATCATATTGAAAATGGGGGTTTCAGTTTTCTTACCAGGATTTTTGTAAAGTATTCTGCTTAGACTTACCACAAACAACAGAATTGGGATGAACATCCAAAATTTAGCTTTCTTTTGAGGGGAAGAAGTAGGAAAGCTTTTAAGTTACTTGTCCTAACATCACTGTAAGATTGCCTACACCTCCTTCTAGTAGAGGGAATTGCTCGTGTTCATTTGGGTTTTTGCTCCATGTTTTGCTTGTTTTGTTTTGTTTTGCCAACCTGGTTTCTTCAAGGTTGTTGAAGAAGTACACAGGTGATGGATCGGGCATTTACATGCAACTAGATATTCTATCAAAATAACAGTAATGTGCATGTTGGTAAATTTATGTTGTTTTTAGTTGTTAAGCAAGAGCTTAACAGCGATAGCCAGGCAAACTGAAGTTTCTGTATGAAAAGTATGACAATAAGTGACAAAATGATCACACCCACTTGTTGCTCTGTAGTGTGATTTGCACTAGCTGAGACTCTTCAGACCTGTTTGCTTTTAAACAATATCTAAATAGTGCTGCTGTAATTTCATCTTCCTGTAGCTTTCTTCTCTCTGGATAAAGAAAATATATATTCCATCTCACAGGAGGGAATTCCACATTTCTTAAGAACTGTAATGTTTATGAGTAATTTTATAATCAAATTTCTAACAGTTCACACTCGATTACTTATTGGAGACTTTTTACTCCTCTGAGTGACATCCGAAAATCTCTTATTTTACCTCTAACATAAACTTCTCTTGGTGACTTTAGCATAGAACAGTAGGGTACTTGCAGAAGAACATACATCATGATACTGAGTGACTGAGTTGTACACTGTCCCCTTTCTCCTCCTTTGGCTTGACTCATGTTCCCTGTGTGTGTCTTAAGATTTGCAAGAGGAATCTGCTGCGGAAACAAGAATTTGTGTTTTCATGCTGCTTCCTTGCTGCATACCAGAAACCTTTTTTTTTTTCCAAAAAAGTACAGTAAAATTTGTAACAGTATGATCGTGTAATGTATGTTTCAGAAACCTTTTCTATTAAATTTATAGACAATGTGATATAATCTTAGATAAAAAGCTTGCTTGGGTTTTCTTGCCACAACCCTACAGAAATGGCAAAGCCTTTATTGTTCTTCATATCTGATATAGCTTAACAATAAATAGGAAAACAAGAAAATTCAGGGCTCAGAATAAAATAAATAAAGTTGTAATTTATTCAGCTGCTTCATAAGCTTTCTTTCAGCTCAGGGGAAAAAATACTAAATCTCATAGGCGTAGACATGACTTTTGTTTTCCATTATTCCAGTGTTTTGTTATGTAAGATTCAAAATATTAAAAGTAGAGTTTAGTGATACGTTTCGAATGGAGAAAGAGATTTGTGAACTCAAGCCACAAGATATTTTGTTTTAATCCTTACTCATTGTTTTATTGTAGTACCAATGAGTCATGGTTGAGGATCTGTTCTTCTGAGCATTTTACAGACAATGAACAGCAACCTGACTTTATGCAAACCCAAAGTTTTACCTACTGTTATGTGTCTGTGGCATTCTGTTTCAAAGAATGCATGCTATTTTTTTCCTCTGAAAAGTTGCAATGGAAAATAGGAAAGGGTGTCACACTTGCAATAAGCAGTTTAATACTTTATTGACCTTTTTCAGTAACTGCAGCGATTAGCATCGTACCAAGGCTCCTTCCAGCAAATACATTTATTAATTAAATGCTACTCTTGAGTATAGTGCATCATGAGAGCTCTTTCCTGTTTAACCTTATACATTCAGTGCTCTTGGCTTGCTCAGAGAAAAAGAAACGTACAGCCCTCTTCAGCCTTCATCTCTCAGGACGCTTTGTGAGAAGAAGTTTCATTCCTTGAGTTGATCATTAGAGACTTCTGCTTTCTGGCACTGTCTGTTACGTGTTTGAGACAGTGAAGTATTCCTTAGAGTTATTCTCTTTGAAGTTATACCTGTTCCAAGTGTGTGCATTTCCATACTTTTGCATTTGCTTTTCATTTAATAGGTCTGAGGAATAAGATTTCCTGCAGTGCTGCATATCTACTGCGTATCTTGCTATGCAGCCCAATAAGGCTGGGTATTTGCGGGAACCACAGATGCGGATCGCAGTCATCGGGGCTGAAACCTGTAAATGACTCATGACTCTTCGTTGACTGGTATATACAGTCATTTCTGCTGTAAGCAGTAGCCGCATCCTCAAGACATTAATCGCTTTGGTGGTTTAGTCCTCCGAAGGCCGAACTGCAGCACAGTGCAGGCTCTGTGCTGACTTCCACGCGGCTCCCAGGCTGCCCGGGTCGCATCGCAAGCCATCGCTCCCAGCCGCGCGGCTGCCGTGCGTTCCCCCATCCAGAGCACTATCCCCGTGCCTGATGGGGTAGCTTTTGACAGCCAAGCACTACAGCCGCAGGAATTCTTTTCCTCATATGTTGGAGAAATCCTGTTAAAAGATGGGAAGTGTTTACCAAGGTATGGTCTGCCATGCGAGAGTTCTGAAAATCAGCTAATAGCCATCGATGCCAAGCGATTTTGCCCACCGTGTCTCAATTATCCTACTTTCTTCTGTGAATTTAAGACTGCGAGGTGAAATTCTTTTGAAATGGGCTGTGAAGTTGTGTGTGCTCCCTCTGGTGGGTTAGAAAGCTAGCCGGGAAAAATCTCAGAGACAGTATTAAAATGACAGTAAAAATCTGAACCTTTTCCAAGTTTGCTAATCACCCCTATCATCAGATTCCAAGTGACTAATACAGAGTGAGGATGAGAACTGATCCTTTGCTGGCCCAGGTAGTTACTAGGAAACACCAGTACTTTCAAAAAATTGCCAGGTAATATTGAGAAAATTAACAACATGGAAACTAGAGACTCAGAAAGCAAATCTATTTTTAATGGTGCTTATGTGCTAAACAGTGTTGACAGAAAGACAACCGTAAAACTGTGACGTTATTCAAGCTCAAGATTAGACAGTACCAGTTGCTTTTGTAACACTGTGAGTAGTTTTCTGAGGGAATGACAAAGAAGGAGAAAAGAAGAAGGTTTTGGTGTCTTCTCATGCTCATAGATTTCCTGGTTTCAGAATCTGTGGTATCCTGGGAAATTCCATTTTGTTTTGTCTGGGATAACATGTAAAATACTGGTAGGAATCGAGGAGCAAACACTTAATCCAGGGTTGGTGAAATTTGCTGAAGAGAATTGTTTTAACAAGATGTGTGGCAAATAATGACTAAATTATTACAGGCGTTTTTATATCCTCAAAGGCCATGAAGTGATGGCCATTGCCAAAAACAACGTGTCAGACTAAGCAGCCAGTTGCACTATCTAGTTTTTGTGCATGGAACAAGGAGACCTAGTAATTGCATCTTAATTACCAGTTTGAACTTGGTGAACTTGCAGAATTTGTCAGGTTTGTCCTTTCTTGGTTTGGTTTGGTGTTTGTGTGTTTGTTTGTTTCAGTGCTCTGATAGTAATTGTTAATGACCTAAAAAAAGAAATCTAGTTTTGTAATCACAGTTGCCTAACAGACAGCAGCTTGCATGTTTTGCTTCAGTAATGCTGATTTTGGAGTGTAGCCAGAAGTATTATTGAGGACTAAAGTTATGGATAAAGCTTATTCTGAAGAAACTGGATCAGTGATAAGGTTTTTCACGCAAGTAGTTTTGGATTGTAATATCAAAAGTGATGTTCCAGGTTTCCTGATGTATTGGTGGCAGGAAATTAAAACCAATTAGCAGTTGTGACAGCACCTATCATGGATGATTGAGTCTTCTCTTGCATTAAAGTTATACGTGTGGATATCATCAGGTTTCAGTGTAATTACTTATGATTTTGCCAGAGTAAATTACAGAAGAATTAAGCCAATAGATGAGATCCCTCATCTGGATCTCTGGCTCTATGACCCAAAATTAGAAGCTAACAAAAGATACTGACTGAAAAAGACTCCAAGAAAGAAGTTGTAGTCTACAGGAAGGTATAGTACTTTTGAGGAATCAGAAGACATAGCTGAGAGTATATAAAGATTTTAAATATGTATGAAAGGACTTTAGCGAAGGAAGCATCGATACAAAGAGCTGTATAATACTTCATTAGGATGGACTTATTCCAGAAGTTTGAGTTCATACACACATTTATTAATTTTTCCTTCTTTTGTATCCTCCCTGTTACTGTTTTCCTATGTTGGAACACACCTTATCATTGCTTATTCTTACTTCGTTTGGTATTCTTTTGTATTCCTATTCGTTTGCTATTTTCTTTCAGGTCTTTTCCAATTAATCAATATTACTGATTTCTTTCAGTACCAAGTTGATTGACCCAAATACAAAAAGTACTCATCTTTGAATGATACGGGTTTCCTTTGTCTTTTCTATCCAAGCAGGTCCAGTGGCTAATGAGTGGTTCAATTTGCAGGCTGGATGGTAGGTATTGTTTGGCAGTGTCCAGTGCTGTGAAGGTAAACAATATGTTGGTCTTTCTCATTTCTGGAATTCCCTATACTTGTTGTTTCCATTTCTGTCTTTACAACATTCTTCACAATAGCTGATTTTCGAATTGTATATAGACATTGGTGAGACGACCAATCTGAAAAAGTATTCTAATAATTATGCTCATTGCATATGACCTGCCTGCAGCTGTAGAAAACTAAGTACATTTTATTGTTTGTTTGTTTTTTTTCTGGTTTGTTTGTTTCAAATTAGGCTCATGCACAGTTAGTTCGAGAAGTGGATGTAGAGAAGGTGTCAACTTTTGAGAACCCCTATGTAGATGCAATAAGAAGTTTATGGAATGACCCTGGAATCCAGGAATGTTATGACAGACGACGGGAATATCAGTTGTCAGATTCAACTAAATAGTAAGTAACTAGTGGTTACAAACAACTGTATCTTATTTCCGTTCTTTTTTACAAGCAAATTTTAGTATCTTGTATTTTGGTATACGTGTGTGTTCAGTTTGCGTGAATGCATGTGCTGCACAAACATACATCAATATGCACTTAAAATGAGTTTAAAGTCTGCTAAGATAGATACTATATACATAGATTAGGTAGTGTATCTAACTTAATACTATATGTTTGTCTGTTTGCCAGAATGTAAGCCTGCAATCATCTGAAATTTTACAGAAAGATAGTAACTAATTATGGTTTATCACTGCTCTAGTGGGTTTCTTTGGAATACCCTTACTCTTTTCTGAGGTGGGTTCACAAATGCAAGCTGGGCAAAAGTACTTTCACCAGGTGTAATGAAATTCTGTTTTCCAAGATCTTCATCCCCTATTAGATTTCTTTTGCAGTCGTAATGGTGAGGTAGATAGTAGCAGGCAAGCGTTCTTGTGTTTCATTCAACTGCTTCTTCTTTGTGCAAACAAGGCCTAAGCTTGCAAGAAAATGCTTGCCAGGAGAGCAAATAGGTAACAGACTCAAAACAGGCTCCAGTTTTTAAATGGTGGAAAAAATACTGTGTTCTCCACAAGAAAAATGCTATCGGAAGATGAAAGGTGACTTTAAGTGCAGTTTGTAGGAAAATAGGAAATGGAAGATGAAGTAGTTATTTCTGAAAGCATTTTATGTTAAATCCCATTTTTATAGATCAGTAACAATAAAAATGTGAATGTAATTAAACTTGGTCTTGAATGCTGTGCTTGTGCTCCTTTCAGAGTTTTGATAAACTAACCATGTAGAATTTAACACTGGACTCTGAGGACTGTCTAAATGTTGCTTCCAAGAAATTCAGTTGGTCTGACAAATGTAGCATATAACTGAGGTAGAATCTTTCATCTTTTGAAAAATGAATGATGGTAGGACAGGGTGACTTTTTGGTGTTGCCCACTACAAAAAAATGAAAAAAAAAAAGGCATACTTTGTTATTAAAACCATGGCAGAAACTCCCGTGGTCTACACTAGAAATCTTGTATAAACTGTGAAAATTAATCTGATATCACTGAAGTCTTCGTTTGTCAGCTTGTCATGACTGGAAGGCTCTCACAGAGAAAAGCAGTGGAGAATAAAAGGCACCGTCAAACTCCCACTAAAGTTATTGGAATGTGGCCATAGACATAACAGGTTTAGAATGAAATTTATCTGCACAACATTCCATAGATTCTTATTTAGTGCAACCACAGCAGTTAGGAGGCAGTTAGACTAGTGCATAAATTAGGTATATTTTGCTCGAGTGCTCTGCATTGCTACCACATCACACCTGCAGCTGATGAGTAGATGAAGGGAGAGCAGTGGATGTTGTCTGCCTTAACAAGGTGACAGGCCTTTTGGCCCTGTCTTCTATGGCGTTCTTATAGGCAAGCTCAGGAAGTGTGGGTTAGGTGAGTGGCCAGCAAGGTGGATTGAGTACTGGCTGAAAGACAGAGCTCAAAAGGTTGTGATCAGTGGTGGAGAGTCTAGTTGGAGGCAGAGTCTGCTTGTACCTAGCAGTATCCCCCAGGGGCCTGTACTGGATCATCTCTTGATCAATGGCCTGCATGAAGGGACATAGTGGCCCCTCAGCAAGTTTGCTGATGACAGAGAACTGGGAGGAATGGCTGATACCACAGAGGGCTGCGCTGCCATCCGGAAGGATCTGAGTAGGCTGGAGGAGTGGGTGAATAAGAACCATCAGAAGCTCAGCAAAGGCAGGTGGAGGTTCCGACACCTAGGAATAACCCCAGACACCAGTACAGGCTGGGACCGACCTTCTGGAGGGCAGCTCTGCAGAGAGGGACCTGGGTGTCATGGTGGATGATAAGTTGACCATGAGGCAGCAGTGTGCCCTCATGGCCAAGAAGGCCAATGGGATCCTGGGGTGCGTTAGAGCATCTCCAGCAGGTCGAGAGAGGGGATCCTGCCCCTCTACTCAGACCTGGTGAGGCCACATCTGGAGTATTGTGTCCAGTTCTGGGCTCCACAGGACAAGAGGGATGTGGAGCTGCTGGAGAGAGTCCAGCGCAGGGCTACAAAGATGATCAGGGGCCTGGAACATCTGCCCTATGAGGAGAGGCTGAGGGAGCTGGGCCTGTTCAGCCTGGAGAAGAGAAGGCTGAGAGGGGATCTTAGCAGTGTGTGTCAGTATCTTGAGGGTGTCAAGAGGATGGTGACCAACAAGAAGACGAAGAGGCAATAGACAACAAACTGAGGCACAGAAAGTTCCATTTGAATTTGAGGAAATACTTACTGATCATGAGGGTGACAGAGCACTGGAACAGGTTGCCTGGAGAGGTTATGGAGTCTTCCTCTCTGGAGGTGTTCAAAACCCACCTGGACATGATTCTGTGCCACGTGTTCTAGGTGACCCTGCTTGTGCAGAGGGATTGGATTGGATAATGTCCAAAGATCTCTTCCAACCTCGCTCATTCTGTGGTCTGCTCTATCTGCCCCATACATAGGATTTCTGTTGCCTGTATCCTGTGGAACTAATTACATTTCCAGTCTGACACTTCTGTTATTTCTACATGCACATTTTGGAGCACGGGGCGGTGGAATCTCTTCTGTTTCTTTGATTTTTCGCTGTCCCTATTTGCTATTTATTATTGTGTTTTATTTTTCAGTTGTAAGAAGGCTAACAATATCATAGGAATTTACGTAGAAGTGATATTCTCTGGAGTGTGAAAATAGTAAAAGAAAATTAGTTAGGCTGACAGTAAAGAAGTTAGTATACTTTCAGACTGTATTCATGCTGAAATAAACACCAAACTTCAGTAGAAGGTGAAGTAGCGCCTTCCTTGTACCTTGGATTTCTTATGATAGTATGTTTAATTTCTTAATAGATATGATACTAGAAGTTCCTAAAACTGAAGTATATAATACATATATGCATACATGCATACATGCATAAAAATGGTTGGAAGATAATAATGGATCTAGTGAATCTCCAAAATAGGATATTAAATATCTGATGCTACTTCAGACCAAATTTTACTGAATACCTTTGTTTGGACGTAGTGGATCTTTTGAGCAGGATTAAAAAATGATTGCAAACAATTCATTCAGAAATTTAATTTAAGGAACAGAAGCAAGTTTTAGTACATTTTCATACAAAACATACTATATGATTGGTTATTTTTAAAACTCGATATGTTCAGCCATTTACATGAGGTTTTGCAGATTTGATTATTTTAATTATAATAACCTATAATATATACATGTCAACAAAACTCATAAAGCAGTTAAAAGGAAGTAAGCAGCCAGTGCTCATCAACTTATTGAGATTAAGTAATTTATTCTGACTTTATGTATAAAACTGAAATGATTGTTTGCCCACCAGATCTCCTTTGTATCTTTTTAGGCATTTGTGCTAATATGTTCTACTTAATTAATCCTCTATGTGTCTTCTCATCTTCTCAGTGTTTACTCCAATATGTTGTTTTAATAACATTATTTTTATCTGTTCCTTGTATTGCTTTTTGTTTTTTTTCTTTCACTATTAGCACACAGGGTCTTCTAAATTTTGCATTCTGGATTTTCTGTTTCTGTCACTGTTCTATTTGTTTTCTAGTATGTTGTCTTCTTTCACTTTTTGTCATCTTTTGACCTGCTCTGTCATTCTGAGCAGCATTTTTGATGTTTCTGTATGCACTGTGTGTATACCCACATGTTTTGTACCCACACTGCAGGATTAGATCTGGATGTGTTTTTACCAGTAGAGGAGAAGTTAGTGTCTAAGAAACAGAAATCCTGAAAGGTGGGAGTTGATTTGAGTCTGAGACTGAGCAATTATGTTTCATTCTCTCTCTTTATCATTGAATCCTCCAAAGGTTAGGTGTTCTTATTGTTTTAAAAGGAATTTCTAGACTCGATTCTTATCTGTTGCAAAGAGGGCATCAGGTAAACAGAGATTATTCACTTCCCATACACATTATGGGGCGGCTTACCCACTAATTTACCACTAAACCACTTCCCTTTATGTCTTCTGAGATACTGTTCTCGGTGTGAGACCAATGTAAACTGACACCGCAGCGTGGAGAGCCTCTCACTAGCTGTGACGGATGAGATCTTTTTCTACCTCTTTCCCATACAGGGTGTAAGTGCTTTAAGCCAATAGGGAGCAAGTTGCCAGTCAACAGTCTGTGTCATGGCTTTTCAAAGCCTGAAGGAAAGAAAGGCAACAGTCTCGCCAATTTACAGATTTTGGATTATAACTAGAGTTTGTGGAGAGTCATTGACCTTTTTTTTTTTTTTCCATAGCACGTCTGTTCAGGCTTTTCCTTTGCTGACGAAAAAGTAGGAGTTATTTAGGGTTTAACTAGAATTTTTTCTGTAATGGAAGAATTATGTCACTATGTACCTGCAGGTAAGGATTTTCCAGTTCCTGCACAAGCAGAGTTAACAGCATTTGTTTACCTTCCCATCTCTAGCTGTGTTTTATCATGCTTCATGCAATGAGATGTGATTCTGTCCCAGGTCCCTGCTCTACTTTATCTATGCCAGACAGTGTTTAACACATTACCTTGTTAGTCATTTAGTTTTGAGTTCCTTTGTTACTGTATAGTTCACCTGTGCATCTGCGTATATCTGTGTGTGATCATGTGAACTTACATAGTTGGACAGTTAATACATTGCTTCCTTTCTACTAAGAAGTGGTGCAGAGCTCCACGGTGCCATTTCCAGGACATCTTCAGAATATCACTGATAGGTGAATGTGGATGTTGTCTGCTCGTTAGAATTCATTTGTCACCTTTCGCTGAAATACTGTATTAAATGTAGTGCTCTGGTCAGCTAGTAATTTTTGCTCTGCTAGTTCATAGTTTCTGCTGTTCTCTCATAGCTGTCCTTTGAGGTAACATTCTCCTTCCGCGTTCCCCTTCAGAAGTAGGTACAGTTCAATGGAGTTGACTGCGTGCTAAACAGAGTGTTTCTAGGGACGCTCA